AACAAACAGTGTTATTTGCAAAACGACTGGGGATCACATGATGTCCGGTGACTTTTGATAGGCCACTGTACATGTACGTGTACGTTCATTTAACACCCCGCGTGAGTTTAGTCGCATCATCATCTTATTTTAGATATACATGCACATACATGTATTAATGAACGGCACCTAACGCTAATAAAATTTCATATTGATATTTTTAGAAAACATTTAAAAATTTCAACACAATAAAGATGTGAGTTTTCGCTAACTTCCACACTCACATGTCTGTTCTCCTAAGAATACGATGATGTATTTTTAATATCAATATAGACGCACCTGCCTGGTTATCTGATATTCCGCCATCCTCGCACTAGATACATACGTGTACATGTACCACCATCAAAAAGAGAACAAATATATAGAGTGTGTATTAGTACATGTATACATTAATTACTGTGATCGATTTTGATTTCACGTCATTTTTTACGTTTGTCTCTTCTTTACCACGGGGGTTGTTATTTTTTGGTCTTTTGGATTTAAAATTACATTTTTTATTTTTTCTTTACTAAACTTAAAATAGTAAAAGTCAAAAAAAAAATTAACTTACCCGACAAACAAATACCCAAAAACATTGAAAAAATTAACACGCGAGATGTCGTCAACTTTAGCATCGCCGTCAACAACAAAATCCCAAAGGGACATAACCACAGCGACAACTTCGGATTGTAATGATGAAGGGTTCGAAAGTACTGAAGAGCACTATGTGGAAGACAGTTTTTCAACGTCAACTTCAAAGTCTAATAATATAAATGATGACGCTAATACGAGTAATAATCAGACTCGAACGTCTAAAAATTATCCTTTAACTTCAACTACTAACCATACGATGATTTCGAACGTTGAAGTAAATAGTAATCATGATAGTCAAATCAAAAACAACACAATAATGTCATCAATGAATACGCCACAGATTTCCACGCCTAATAATCTACGTTCTCGTCCACAACTACCTAACATAATCACAGCGTTACCCCATAACCAATTTTACCAAAATGATCCATCACTTGAAGGACATGCCACTCAAAAAATGCCACAAAGACATTTATCTGATCCAGTGATTCTTCAACAATCACCATTTCCAATCTCACAAAGACATTTATCTGATCCAATGGTTCTTCAACAATCACCATTTCCAATGTCACAAATATTGCAACAGAGATCGAATTCAATCCCATCAGCAATACCAGCTACTCAGCCAGTATATATTCTACAATCACCAATACAGCTAGTGCCATTAACAAATCAAATTTATTCTCCGCCTACAAAGATCGATCGCATAAAGGATCCAAATGGGAAACTGATTTCTTCCGAGAAAAATACACAAAAAATTACAAAGAAAATTTTAAAAAATCCAAATTCTCCTATTGCTCAACAGATTGGAACATCGCCTCCTATGTCACCATCATTACAAGGAATCCCACAATCGCCAATATCGCCAGTGATGGCACGTTACTCTGTAATTCAACAAATTCCAGCTCATCCTCAACCTCTACATCCCCAAACGCCAGGAATCAATTATCCATTATTCTTAAACAATAATACATCACCACCAGTACCTATCGTCAAAAAAGAAGGTCTACCATCTACATCTACGCCAGCAAACAAAGATAAGAAGGACGATGAATCTGGACAAGAAACTGAACAAGAATCTGGTCCATCACCTATGGAAAAGCCAAGATGGCATCAAAGATTATCTTGGATTATAATCTGTTTCCTGAATCTGGTGAACTTGGTTGCTTCAATGATTCTACTATATATTTATTTTACGAATGTAAGTTTCATTAAGATTTATATTACTATTACTTTACTGTACGCCAATTATTAATTTTGCAATTTTGACGAAAAGCCATCCTTAAAAACGCAATTTTCTCGATATGCATTTCTTTGCTTATTTTTGATTGAGCTCGGAGCACGAATAATAATTACCTATCGGATACATAATAAATTTACCAAAAATGAATTAACCCCCACAGACGTTATTTGCTGTACATTATGTAAGTATCCAATATGTTCGCCATTTATAAAAACTCGACATACAATCCACTGACTACGTTATATTTTTAATTTTTAAAAAACAGTCAAAAAAGAATTTTTTTTGCTAGTAGGCAAAACAAACTTGAAGCCCTCGCAAATACGTAATCTAAGCAACCTTGGCGACTACACGTGTTTCTTTCACATTATATTTTTCGTGTACGCATTTATAACAAATTACGGACATAGCAACGACGACAACTCTGAACCAAAAGTTCCGTTTCTGGTTAATGATTTAATCACTATTTTGAGTTATGTCTTGCTTAGTGTTGTATGCCTGTTGGCATTACGATTGTTTCTTCAGCCGATATTTTCGATATTCACTAAATGTGGTGTTAATAATGCAGATGTTAATAATGCGGAGACGATGACTGCTGCTTGAAGTATCTTTTTTATATTTATATTTGTTGGGAACGCGTCTTTATTATGTATTTTAATAATTATTATGTATTTAAACATCATATGTGTGTATTAACAAACTTGTATTATATTTATTTATTTTGCTACGACTGTTTTTTTTATTCTTACAGTCAAAAATCGATTAATCTCAAAATTATTAAAGGTGGTTATCGTGTCCCATTTGCAGAAATAGTCATCAGAAATAATATACATTGTATGGAAATACAACAAACATATCATGACAAAAAACTGCATCAAAGGTTGAATTCTTTTAGAGCCTAATTGCGTTGCAAAGACAAAAGAGTGAGAGTTCTCGGAAAACATAACAAGTTTATGACTTGATGAAGAAACATACATGTACACTCCCCGATCAAAAGTCTGATTTAAGATTACAGATCATTACCTTTTAAAATGAGATTACGCCAAAACTATTAAGCATAAATAAATAAAATTT